GAGACTATCTCAAAAAAAAAAAAAAAAAAAAAGATGAGGGGAGAGGCTCCAATAGCTGCCAGACTCACCAGCTCCGCAGACCCTCTTCCCTGCCAGCCAGGGATGGCCAAGGCCTGAGCTCACTTCTCCACATGAGGGCAAACCCCACCCGTCATTGGCACTCAGCCTTCTGGGACGTGGGGGTGGGGGCAGTGTGACTTCAGGGCCCAGGCAGACACACAGCCAGCGCTTGTCCCGCTTACATTGATCCAGACATTGGTGACCTCCTCGTACACCACATACGGCTGGACGTTCCTGGGGACGGCTCTGGCAGAGGCTAGCCGCTGCTCCTCATTCTCTGTGCTTGGGATGAACAGGGCCGGGGGGAGGAGGACGAGCTGGAGCCACTGCTGGGGACGGTCCAGGAACATGGCCCAGGCGCTGAGGGGGAAGATGGATGGGAAGATGGGAGGGAAGCTGGGAGCCTCAGTCCTGCAGAGAGAAGCTGGGGACGCAGCGTCCAAACCCGTGTGGAATTAGGGCTGGGCTTCCTGCGCTGGCTTCACCTGCACTTGGCCAAGCAACCCCACAGCACCCACAAGCTTCCTTCCTGGAACATGCTTAGGGGAGGACAGGATGGGTGATAAGACTCCATGATCCAAGCGTTCTGGAAACAATGGCCTCTCCGCTTTTAGAGGTGGAAACGAGGAGAAGCTGTTATAGTTTCTCCTCTTCACTGACTCCTCCGCCCACAGTTGCTATCCTTTATTTCATCGCTTGCTTTATTTTATTTGTTTGTTTGTTTAATTTTTTGAGACAGAGTTTCACTCTTGTCCAGGCTGAAGTGTAGTGGCGCAATCTCGGCTCACTGCAAATTCTCGGTTCAAGCGATTCTCCTGCCTCAGCCTCCTGTTATAGGTGCCTGCCACCACACCTGGCTATTTTTTGTATTTTTAGCAGAGACGGGGTTTCACCATGTTGCCCAGGCTGGTCTTGAGCTCCTGACCTCAGATGATATGCCAGCCCCAGCCTCCCAAAGTGCTGGGTTTACAGACGTGAGCCACTGCACCTAGCCTAAATGAACAATTTTTAAACTTGAATTTGTTTTAAGAGATGTCAGAATTCAACGTGGAAAAGAAGGACCTCCACACAAAGAGAGAGCAACGAAAACCAAACCAAAGGGAAGCATCACAGGGATGTAAAATACTAACTAGAGCGGGTGCCGGGGCTCAGGCCTGCAATCTAAGCACTTTAAGAGGCTGAGGTGGGTGGATCGCTTGAGCCCAGAAGTTCAAGACCTGCATGGGCGACATGCAAGACCTTGTCTCTACAAAAAAAAAAAAAAAAAAAAGTCCAGGCACAGTGGCTCACGCCTATAATCCCAGCACTTTGGGAAGCCGAGATGGGTGGATCACGAGGTCATAATCCCAGCACTTTGGGAAGCTGAGGTGGGCAGATCACAAGGTCAAGAGTTCGAGACCGTCCTGGTCAACATGGCTGAAACCCCGTCCCTACTAAAAATACAAAAATTAGTTGGGCATGGTGGTACGTGCCTGTAATCCCAACTACTCGGGAGGCTGAGGCAGGAAAATTGCTTGAACCTGGGAGTCAGAGGTTGCAGTGAGCCAAGATCACGCCGTTGCACTCCAGCCTGGCAACAGAGCAAGACTCCATCTCAAAAAAAAAAAAAAAAAATTAAAATATTAGTCGGGCGTGGTGACTCACACCCACAGTCCTAGCAAACGTACATATGGAAGCAGCACATAATAGAATTCATTGTTAACATTCCATTGGAAGGCCGGCCGTGGTGGCTCACACCTGTAATCCCAGCACTTTGGGAGGCCGAGGCAGGCGGATCACAAGGTCAGGAGATCGAGACCATCCTGGCTAACACAGTGAGACCCTGTCTCTACTAAAAATACAAAAAATTAGCCGGGTGTGGTGGCAGGCGCCTGTGGTCCCAGCTACTCGGGAGGCTGAGGCAGGAGAATGGCGTGAACCCGGGAAGCAGAGCTTGCAGTTAGCCGAGATCGAGCCGCTGCACTCCAGCCTGGGTGACAGAGCGAGATTCCATCTCAAAAAAAACACAAAAAACAATAATAACAAAAAAATTATTAGCCAGGCATGGTGGCTCTGGCCTGTGACCCTAAGTTCTCAGGAGGCTGAGGTCGGGGGAATGCTTGAGCCTAGGAGTTCAGGGGTGCAGTGAGCTATGATTGTGCCACTACCCTTCGGCCTGGGCCATAGAGCAAGACCCCATTTTTACACAAAATATAAAAGGAAAGGAGGCCTAACAAGTGTGTAGGGCAGGGGAAGCAGTTTTTCTGTGAAACAGGCCCAGATACGAAATACTTTCAGCTTGGTGGGTCATAGTTTCTATCATAGCTACTCAATTCTGCCACTGACAGTCTGCAAACAAGTGGGCGTGGCTGTGTGCCAACACAACTTTATGCATGGACGCTGAGATGTGAATTTCACATCACTTCCATGTGTGATAAAATCTGCTGTGGATCCCCTCCCTTCTGCCCCCAATCATTTAAAAGCATAAATGCCACGGCAGAGGCGGGCCAATCACCTAAGGCCAGGAGTTCAAGACCAGCCTGGTCAACATGGTGAAACTCTGTCTCTACTAAAAATACAAAAATTAGCCGGGCATGGTGGCGGGTGCCTGTAGTCACAGCTACTCGGGAGGCTGAGACAGAAGAATCTCTTGAACCCAGGAGACAACAGTTGCAGTGAACCGAGATCCTGCCACTGCATTCCAGCCTGGGCAATAGAGTGAGACTTCATCTCAAATAATAATAATAATAAATAAATAAATAAAAGCATAACTGCCGGCTGGGCACTGTCTCACGCCTGTAATCCCAGCACTTTGGGAGGCCAAGGTGGGCAGATCACAAGGTCAGATCGAGACCATCCTGGCTAACACAGTGAAATACCCGTCTCTACTAAAAATACAAAAAATTAGCCGGGCGTGGTGGCAGGCGCCTGTGGTCCCAGCTACTCAGGAGGCTGAGGCAAGAGAATGGCGTGAACCTGGGAGGCGGAGCTTGCAGTGACCGAGATTGCGCCACTGCACTCCAGCCTGGGCCACAGAGCAAGACTCCATCTCGGGGCAGCGGGGGAAGCATAACTGCCATTTTGAGCTCATGGGATGTATAAAAACAGGCAGACAGCCGGGCGCGGTGGCTCACACCTGTAATCCCAGCACTTTGGGAGGCCGAGATGGGTGGATCACGAGGTCAAGAGTTCAAGACCAGCCTGGCCAAGATGCTGAAACCCCATCTCTACTAAAAATACAAAAGTTAGCCAGGCGTGGTGGCAGGCGCCTGTAATCCCAGCTACTTGGGAGGCTGAGGCAGAAGAATTGCTTGAACACAGGCGGCAGAGGTTGCAGTGAGCCGAGATCACGCCACTGCACTCCAGCCTGGGTGACAGAGCAAGTCTCCGTCTCAAAAAAAAAAAAAACAGGCAGAGGCTGAATTTTGCCCACTGGGGTTTGGGGCCCCCGTTTAGGGAAGCGGTAGAGTTTTCTCCTCGACAAGGGTGGGAGGTTGGGGAGTGAGTACAGGGGAGCACCTCTACTTTGTGACTGAGTTTTTCTGAGTCTGAGGTCTGGGGACACCTGAAATCCCCTCTGTAGGTCTCCTCCACACTCTGGGTAACTGGATCAGCGTGTCCTAGTGGTACTAACACGGGGACTCGTAAGTCCAGTGTGTCATCCTCAGACTGGCTGAGGTCAGGAAGGCCCTTTGGACACTGGGCTGAGGCCTGTCCTGGTGGTGGCACTGCGGGAAGACATGTGAGCAGATGGAAGGAATGGCACGAAAGGCCAGGAGGCGGATTCGGTGGCTGCTCAGGGTCCAGGGCCCCACAGGTGAATTCCTCAGGTTCCAGCCGGAGACACTCACTATTTGCCATCCCGGGTCCACCCGGCCCTGGCGATGTACTCCACCTTCGGGAACAGCGAGCTGAAGGGCTGCACCAGCTCCTTCTCCTGGGTCGAGACGATCTGAAGGGAAACAGGTGTGGGTCATGCCCTGGCCTGCCCGGCGCTGCTTGGAGGAGAAGGCCACTGCGCAGGGTCCCGTCATGTTCCCCCCAGATTCATATGCTGGAGTCTCAGCCTCCAGAACCCCAGAACACGACCTTCTTTGGAAATGGGGCCACTGGAGATGTACTGAGTTAAGACAAGGTTGTGCGGACGAGGGTAGGGCCTGATCCAGCATGACTGCTGTCCTTACGGGGGGACACGTGGACATAGACACACAGAGGGAGGCCGTTTGGAGAAGAGAATCGGGAAGCAACGGCTACCAAGAAGCCATGGAGAAGGAGCCCCCTGCCAGCACCTTGGTGTTGGACATTGTCAATTTCGACTGAGTTCCCAGTCTGTGGTCCTTTGTCATGGCCCGAACAAACGACTACACCCAACCGGGGCAGGTGGGCTGGGTGAGCCAATGGCGGCACCCCAGTGGGTGCCTGGACCCCAAGGCTCTGGTCTGGGCTATCCCTTAGAGCCAGGTGGCTCTGGGCAAGCACAGTCCCCAGACCCAGGGCTTCCCCATGTTAAACGGGGCTGGCACAGCGTGTCCAGGGTATTGAGAGACAGGAGACCTGGGGCTTCCTCGAACCTAAATGGGGCTGACATGGGATCTCCAGGGGATCTAGAGAAAGGGGACCTAGGGCTTCCTTGTGCCTAAACGGGGCTGGCACGGCGTCTCTGGGGGATCGAAGGGAGAAACGGCAGCAGGGCCTCCAGCTCTACCACTTGAGTGGGTCACCAGTCCCACATCTCCAAGCCGCCTTGTTTGATTGGCGTCACCCAAGTCCACCTAAAGACTCTGCACGTCTGAGAGTGCAAGGAGCCACTAAAACAGTCTGGCGGGGCCGGCTGCAGTGGCTCACGCCTGTAATCCCAGCGGTTTGGGAGGCCGAGGCAGGTGGATCACTTGAGGTCGGGAGTTCGAGACCAGCCTGGGGAACATGGCAAGACCCCATCTCTACAAAACCCACAATTAGTTAGGTGTGGTGGTGCATGCCTGTAGTCCCAGCTACTCAGAGGCTGAGGCGAGAGGATTGCCTTGAGCCTGGGAGGCTGAGGCTGCAGTGGGTCATAATTGCACCAGTGTACTCCAGCCTAGATGACAGTGAGACCCTGTCTCAAAAAACAAGAACAAACAAGCAAAGCAAAAGCCCAGCCTGGAGGGAGGTTTCATGTGGATCACTGGCAAGGCCACTCAGACTGACCACCTCAAATCCGCCAGAATGCTCTGTCAAGAATGCAAAAGAGGTTTGGAGAGGGCCTAACCAGGTCAAAAAGCACCCACAACCCTCCAAATTATGAAAACAGGTACGTTTTATCTAACATGCTTCCCCAAAACATTGTATCATTTTTGCAAAAGTGCACAAGGGCCTCCTTGGTTTGTCCAGGCCTCCCATCCTCTGGCGTAGGGGAAAGGAGGGATTCCCTGGACACCTGTGTCCCCATCGTCATCTCATCTCCTCTGCCCCAGCCTCTTTGGTCCAGGGCTCCGTCTGTGAGTTCTCCAATGTGATGTTACTTAACTTCCTGACACCTTTCTGGGTCTTAGGGGATTTGCAACTTCCGAGAGAATGGATCGGTGTGGGGCTATTGGGGGTCCCCAGGGAGGGCAGGGACGTGAGAGAAGGGAGGGATATGCTGGGCTGGAGCGGGTGGCTGGGGAGATGGGCGCCGAGGGAGATGTGGTCACTGGTATGATCTGCTGGTGACCGTCTCGCTGCGGGGTGATGATACCTTTTGCTGCCTGATGGCGCCTACAGAGTGTGGGGTCCTTTGAGATGACCCCCAGGTGATGAGGACCCTGTGTGCTGGATCTGACGAGGTGCGGGGATGGGGACCCAGATCACTCTCCTCCCTACAGTAGCTGACGGGTCCAGTGAACTGATCCCTGAGGATCTGCCCAAAATGCTGGAGGAAACACCCCATCTGAAGTTGGGGTCCCCCAGCCATTTGCCCTGCGGAGTTCTCTGTTCTAGAAACTTGGAGAGAGGGCAGCTCTAGATCCACACATCACCCCCTCCCGGGGGAGCCTGGGAGAACCTGCTGCGCCTGTCCTCGAAGGACCCCTGCCCAGCACTCGTTCCTTACCGCAGGGAGGCCAGCTCGCCACGCCGCATTCCCGGCCCTGGCCCAGAGACACGCAGGGAAGGCCCATGGCTGGGCGGGCCAGGCAGCAGGGCTGGGGCCTCGGGCGTGTCCCCGCAAGGGAAGTGAGTGACCCGCCCATCCGCCCAGCTGCCTACCCGGCCCTTCCCTGCGTCATCTGGAAGATTCTCTAGGATGCACCAGGCCCCTTTACCTTGCCCTGGCTGTCGGTCTGGAACTCGGCCAGTTTCAAGGCGATCTTGGGATTCTTGCTGCCTGCAAAAACCGAAGTGAGGTGAACGCCAAGCAGGTGTCATCTGTGCGTGCCGAGAGCCGGCGTGGGGGGCCTGGGCTGCAGGGTGACGTCCACAGAGAGGTGTACAATTGGTGCGGGGGAGGCAGGAGAAGTCGGGTGTCCCATGGTCTGTCTGCAGGCACACCGGCCCGCTGGTACAGGCGTGACGCCCCTCAGGCGGGGACCTTCTAAGATTTTGGGCCTGGATCGCATTCCCGACAGTGAGGTGACATTCGGCTGTCTCATTTAAGAACCCAGGCCACACCCTGTGCTGAGAGCTGGGGCTTGTGGGAGCCGCAGACACCAGGAAGATGCCATCCCTGCCTTGGGAGAGCTCCAGAGCAGACGGCGAGGCCCGAGCATCACAGTGAAACCACTGACAACGTGACGAGTGGGGTGTGTCCCATGCAAAACGAGGGAGCCATGTGACAGCCAGACCTGCGCCCTTGGGAGGCCAATGGCAACAGAATAAGGGACCCAAGAGGCTTCTGAAGAGTGGGATTTAGTTCAGGCTCCAAAAGAGGGCGCAGGCCCTAGCAGAGCAGAGAATGCTTAATTTTTTTGGCTAGACCTACAAGAAACTCAACTCCAGCCCTCGTGGCTCTGGCCCCCAGGGCAGGTGACATCTCTGAGCCTCAGTTTTCTCATCTGTCAAACAAGGGGGAAGAGACTGACTTAGCTCATTTGCAGTGGGAGTTGGAAAGACCCCACAGGAAGCTTCCATCTAGCACGGCACAGAGCAGGCACTTGCGGGGTAAGGGCAAGAACGATGATCTCATATGGTCCCACGGGGGTTGCAAACCCAAGGCCTGAACATGGAATCTGGGCTGCATGTGTGTTCTGTTTGGCTCCAGAGATATTTTTAAATAATTGGAAAGAGGTTTAAGAATTGGGAGTGGCCAGGCGTGGTGGCTCACGTCTGCAATCTCAGCACTTTGGGACACCGAGGCGAGAGGACCACCTGAGGCCAGGAGTTCGAAACCAGCCTGGGCAACACAGCAAGACTCTGTCTCTACAAAAAATTTAAATATTGGCTGGGCATGGTGGCGCACACCTGTCGTACCAGCTACCTGGGAGGCAGAGGTGGGAGGATCACTTGAGCCCAGGAATTTGAGGCTGCAGTGAGCTGTGATTGTACCACTGTACTCCTGCCTGAGCCACAAGGTGAAACCTTGTCTCAAAAACAAACAAACATGCCGGGCGCGGTGGCTCAAGCCTGTAATCCCAGCACTTTGGGAGGCCGAGGCGGGCAGATCACAAGGTCAGGAGATCGAGACCATCCTGGCTAACATGGTGAAACCCCGTCTCTACTAAAAAATACAAAAAAAAAACTAGCCGGGCGAGGTGGCGGGCGCCTGTAGTCCCAGCTGCTCGGGAGGCTGAGGCAGGAGAATGGCGTGAACCTGGGAGGCGGAGCTTGCAGTGAGCTGAGATCGCGCCACTGCACTCCAGCTTGGGCGACAGAGCGAGACTCCGTCTCAAAAAACAAAAACAGAAACAAAAACAAACAAACAAACAAACAACCACCACTACAGTGTGAGGGTCAAATCCAGCCTGCCTTCTGTTTTTGTATGCCTAAAAATCCTTCTTTCGTTCTGAGATGGTTACGAAGATGAACAAATAAAACAAGAGGGACATTTTGGCTAATATGAAAATCATATGTATCTCAAGGTGAGTTATTTGCAATCCAAACTTCAGTCAAGTTTTCTTGGCACGCGGCCACGCCCATTCCTGCACGTGCCGCTTCTGTGCTCCAGCAGCAGGGTGGGACAGTTGCAAGAGAGCCTAGCCTGCCTTGGCCTGGCCCTAGAAGCCTGAGACACCTGTCCCCCTGCCCCTTCCAGAGACGGCTTGCTGACCTCTGAGCAATGTGATCAGGAGGCCATGGTAAGCCAGGAGAAAGGGGCGTCCCCTGCAGGGTAGAAGCCTTCCCCCTACACGGCCCCAGATGCCCAGAGCACATTTGTGCAGCTCAGAGGGCCTGGGGGACAGTGCACCTCACCAGTCATGCCCCAGGGGCCTCAGATCCCCGGCCTGGCCCCTCACATGTACCGAGCACTCACCTGTCCTGGGGTACCGATACGAGTCCGTCTTCCTTTCTTCTAGTGCAGGAGAAGGGACGTGAATGACCTCCACCTCGGACTCATCCACTTCCTCGTATAGGATTCGTAGCGTCTTGAGGCCCTCTGAACCTTGGTAGGGGTGGGCAAACTGAGGATGCCGGCGGCGGAGTCCCTGCCATCAGCCCACCCTCTTCTGCAGCACCAGGGCCTGACGCTGGGCACCATGGGCTCTGAAACCAGAACCCCGGCTCTGCCATTCGCTAGACCATATGCCAGTCCCAACTTCTGGGCTTTGGTTTCCTCCTCTGTGCAGTGGGAAGCAGAGCAAGGCTATTCCCAGCATGAACTGCATGGGAAGTGGCCACATGGGGTGTAACAGGCTGAACTGTGTCCCCTTTTAGGGCAACAGCGATGTCTACAGTCGTTAAGGAACTCTCTAGGTGTTGGTATTGACAGACCACGGAAGTGGTTTGAAGTAAAAGGAGTAAGGGGCAGGAAGGACACAGACTGTGACTCCAGAAGGAAAAGCACGCCCGGGAGCATGTTGAAAAATGGAAGGGACCTACCTTCCCAGGAGGCTGTGGGGCACCACCAGTACCCAGTGAAGCGGTCAAACTCTTCCTGTATGACAAAGGTGGCCACGCCTGCAGACTTGGGGTCGTCCAGGACATTGGATAAACCTAGGGGGAGAGACGGAGAGCATCAACAAGGGGTGAGCAGCCTGCTAACATTGGGGACAGCCAGGGGCTCCAGGAGAGCATGAGAGAGAGGGAGAGAGAAGGAGGGAAGGAGAAGGAGAGAGGGAAGGAGACGGATGGAGAGGGAGGGAGAGCTCGAGCCGACTGTTTTCAAGCAGGGCTGCTCCACCTCACACTGCGGACACTGGGGTCCTCTTGGTCTCTAGGGTGGGGCCGTCCAGGGCACGGCAGGGTGCTGAGCAGTGTCCTGGCCTCCACTCACTCCATGGCAGGCCAGGAGCACCCCTGCCCGTGTGCCATCTCAAAACGTCTCTGGACATCGCTGAGTGCCCAGGTTTGGAAAAGTGGGACCCGGGCTCATGGGACGGAGAGGCAGCGATCAGTGACTTGAAACCAGGACAAGGAAGGAGGGGGTCACTTCTGGTGAGCAGGGGAGTGGACAGAACACACAGGAAGCAGGTGAGATGTGGCCTTGACTTGATGGGGCCGGACAGGCAGAGTGGAGGGGAAGGTGTGCAGGGGCAGAAATGCCCAGGAGCACCTGGCAGAGCACCGTGGCTGGGCCGACGCCTGCTGCAGAAAACCACAGAGCGGCCAGGTGCGGTGGCTCATGCCTGTAATCCCAGGACCTTGGGAGGCCGAGGCAGGTGGATCATTTGAGGTCAGGAGCTCAAGAGCAGCCTGGCCAACATGAGGA